AAAAAGATCCAAATACGGTAGTATACACAGGACTTGGCACTCAGAAAACATACAGGAGTGTTAAATATTATTGTTAATATCTCTAAAATTACTCCAAGGGTGGTAGAGTCTGCCCATTGCCCACTTCCATATCCATTCTGCATGTGATCTAGAGGTCAAAAACTTGCTGCTGCTACCACGAGTACCACCACAACTGTCTCTCACAGTCGAAAAACTAGTTAGGAAAACTGACTCCAGGCATTATGAATGGATAGAAACCTTTCACATCTCAGCCAGCCTATCTAGCAACAACAGCAGCAGGAACACGTCTTTCATTTCACATTCGCCTTCTGATTTTCATGTATGTTTTTAGCAGAGCCAAATTTGCATCCTGAACACACGCTGTAATGGGGTCCAGGAAATGCTTTTAGCTCCTTGATCTCTCCAACCAGGAGGAAGATAAAACCAAGTTTGGGAAAGCCAATCCATAATATCTACCACAATCTTCTCAAATTCATTGAGAAGCCACTGCTTCGAGTTGTTCCTAAATTTTTCCTAGCTGAAAGTAATTGTCCTCCCTCCTCCTTTAAGCTGTGGTTTTCAACCCGCACTGGACTTTAGAACTACTTGACAACTGAAAAGTACTTATATTTAGTGCACTCGAATTTATTTGTTTTGAGGTAGGGGTGTACCTTGGACATTTTTTTTGACACAGGGATTCACTCGTGTTGCCTAGGCTGGAGTGCAATGACACAATCTCAGCTCACCACAACCTCTGCCTCCTGGGTTCAAGAAATTCTCCTGCCTCAGCCTCTCAAGTAGCTGGGATTACAGGCATGAGCCACCACACCTGGCTAATTTTGTATTTTTAGTAGAGACATTTCTCCATGTTGGTCAGGCTGTTCTTGAACTCCCAACCTCAGGTGATCTGCCTGCCTCAGCCTTCCAAAGTGCTGGGATTACAGACGTGAGCCACTGTGCCATCCCACCTTGGACATTTTTAAAATTCTAATGTGTACCCAATGTTTAGAACTACTGCTCTAAAACTTATAACCTTTCATTTATCCTCATCACTTCCTAACTTTTGTTTAGATATATGAAATGTCCTTACTCTTCCTGCTAGATCATAAGCTCTCTGCAGACAGGATGTGAGTCTAATATTTTTATATCCTTTACAATTTGTAGCAGATTACTTTGCAAATGACATGTATTTTACATGTTTATCAAATGTATGAATAAATAGATGGTGAGTGAGGCCTTGCAAACAATGGTATATTAAAGGTACCAGGCATGAAACCTAGTCCTTGCCTTTCTCCCATTTGAAATGTTCTCAAGTATATTTCTTGTGAATCTATTCATTCTGCATAGCATAGTAAAAATGTTAAGTGGATATACTGCTCATAGCCTTAGCCTTCTAATTAATAACTCACCATAAAATATAACAACACAGAATTATCCTGGTTTAAAAAATAGCACCTAAGAAATAACACTCTCAGCTACAAAAACTATTATTAAAACTTACATCTTTTTAGGGAGAAACCTAACATCTATAGGAGGGAACCAAAAAAACAAAGCCAAGTCCATTCATACCATTGAATTTCTGAGCTACTCATCTGTCTTCATTATCTCCTTTGATATATCAGTGCACCTCTAAATAAATCTTCTAAAATCCCAATGTGCAAAGATAAAAATTCTGGGCTTAAATGTTGTGTTAGTTGCTAAATAACTTTGAAAGAAGTTTGACAAGAATGTCTAAGTGATACATTACAAATTAATGATTAGCACTGCTGAGTTCACATCTAGAAAAGTTGAATGCTAACCAATTGGGGTACATGAATAATTCTTACAGCTCATAATTAAGAATAGCTTTGCTCGAGGATTTTTAATCTTTGAAAGCAAAAAATTCCCAATATCTTTGTCAAATTAGCCCTCAGGTGGGGATTCCTGAGACAAAAATCACATAGTCCTCATCCTCTTTCCTACAGCTTTACCTGTTAGGGAATGATTAAAAATAAGCTATTTGGTTTGCTCTTCTGAACACAGAATTATTCCCTGAGAATTTTAAAATATTAATGTTAGTGATAAAGAAGAGGAAAAGGTACAGAATAATGTTTTAAAAAACATAAGATAATAAAAAGTGGTCAGACTGGAAAAATTCAGTCTTACCTGTTTTGCCTGCCCCACTCCAGTTAGAACTACTTGCATTCAAGGTTCAAATCACTTCAGAAAGCTTTAAAGTATCAAGATCCTTCTTCATCCTGAAGGTACCCAGGTACAATCTGTTCTCAAGACTCACCATTTCCCATCTTTAAATGAGTTCCTGTGCCATTCTCTCACTTGTCTTTTCCCTTCCTCGATAAACAGTTTGATCTTCCTTCCTTGCTTCTTTCTTTCCTTCCTTTTTTTCTTCCTTTCTTCCTTCCAATCTTCCTTTCTTCCTAACAGATTTCCAACAGCTTAACTTCCTTAAGATCTTCCTAGAAAGGTCTGTCTTCACTCTCCTTTCTTTCCTAATAGTTCTCTAAAGATCCTATATGATTCTAATAGAATGTATATCATTTATATAGTTATAATACCTCTATTTTTAAAAAGCTATTTGGATGTAGTCAAAGATCAATAGTTAAATGCAGACTTCATGAAAATGAGGAATAAATTTCTTAGTGTATTTTTTCTAACCAAGAAGAAGAGAGTAAACATTCAGTTTGTTCTTCTACCTCAAATTACATTCACTATTACTAATACGGGAGCTATGCTAAGAGAATCTAGACTTCTTGAGGGGCAGGGAGTTCAAATCACTGAGTAAATATTCAAGAAATGTTGACCTGGACCAAATACCTGCTCCCACTATATAGTTCTACAAGTGTAAAATACAGGGTTTTGAGATATTAGACTGATTCTGTTCTCACCCTACCCAACTTCCCTGATGTTGGTTTTACAAAATGGAATTGAACAAGAAGTAAATTTCTTATTTTAAAAATTAAGAAATATGATCTGTATTGTAGGGCATTTTCTGCCAGGCTTATTATGTAGTGAGGACTGGGATGGGAGAAAGACCATCTTGTCTTGTATCTAGACTTCATGATCTGATCACTAAATTAGTTACAGGTATTTTGATAGTGTCATGTTTAAAGTATCATTTAAAATAAACAATTGAAATATTATCAGTTTTCTAATCTCTTTTGTTTTTTTTTTTATTTTATAATTCACTTAAAGTGTCACAAAATGGCAGTAGCCTTGCAGTTCCTAACCCCTGAGAGGCCATGTTTCATGATGTTATTATACACATCTAAAACTAAAATAAATATTAATAATCAAAGGAGGGAACCCATTTCATTATTAAAGGTGCATACCTGATTTCTGTGAAGTGATAAACACTTGATTGCTATAAATGTGAATAAAACTTTTATTTTTAAACTTTTCAAGGGAATTAGATCTATTTTCCTGCTTTTTGAAGGCTTTAGTAACACTCTGAGTGTGTTTGTATTCACTAGGAAAGGACATTTCTGTGGAATTAATCAAATGGAGAATTCAGTGTTCCTGGTAGATCATTTTGGCCATGTTCCATTTGGAACTTTCTAGTCTGCACTTCATCTTCCCTGGGAAAAGACCCACATGTTCCAAATCCTCAGTCTTTTCTCTACTTATTAGTGAAGAACAATATAGCAAAACTGCAATGTACAAAATTAAGAATGATGTGCATTCAGCAAGTCTCTCTGCTGGAAACTTCATCACTAGAATAAGGCAAAATGCAATAGAATAACAGTTAAATGTAGTCAGCACAAAGTAGTATCAAAAACGATGTTGTATCATCATAGTTGATGGTTCCTCTGATTTTGCTAAAATTAACAAAAATTCCTGTCGGGGGAGAATTAGAAAATGTTAAAAGCTCTAAATATATTCCAGTAAATCCTGAGATGACAAATCACATTTTCCAAGGAAAATCGGTGCTACTTTTTTGGTAACAACAAAAATTCATGTTCAACGCCTAATTAAAACCTTTTGAAATCTATATGCTTTGTCTCTTAATGGTGTTCCATATTTACAAAACAATCAGAACCCTTATCTGTCACTGGCTTTATGTTTCATATCAGCTTTTTTATTCATCTTACAGAATGAATTTTACCTTACAGATAAATTCTAGCTATTTTTATGTACAGCCATAATGGAATAGCTGCTGCTATTATTTATGCTACATACATGTTACTTTGGCCCTAAAGCCTGAAGGAACCTATGGTCGTTTCCTACCACCGATGATTTCACCTGCACTTCTGTATCTGGGCAAGCACTCAACAATAGTCACAAAGATCTAGCACTTGGTCTGAATCCTACCTGCTGTGTTTTATTTTGCCAGCTTGGTAAAGGACATTTAAATGAAGAAATCTAAAGCTAGCAGAGAACAGAGATTTTGGAGTCACCAGCACATTTGGGGTGGTGGAAGCCACAGCTAAGGAGGGTATGTGGTACAGAAAGACCTTAGGGTAAATGTGCAGAGCCCTTATTAGGTATTCTATAAAGACTTGAGGAGTAAAAGAATGAACTAGAAAATGACAATGTACTGATTATTAATTTATATTTGAGTAAGAAAGACTGTTATTTCCATCAAAACCGGCCTCTAGAATTTTCCAGCAAGAAAGTAAGTGACAACAGTTAGTTAAAAGCCCTAGCAATGGTTCATATTTATATCCTTGAGGTGAAACCATCCTTCTTCAACAAATAACATATTCTCATTGAATTCCACATTAGTTTATGATAATAAATACAAGATGTTTTTCATAATCTAGCTGCAGGTTTTATGCTTTTTTTTTTAAGCAAAACACACAGGAACTGCCAAGATGGAAGAGTAACCTTTCCTAAATCACTCGAAATGTCACCATGACCATAAGCATAATTTTCTAAATTGGTGAATTTTTGCTTAAGAAAATACAAACTCATTCAAGTGCTTCACTCACATCAAGGTTCCATCATTTATCCTATAAACAAAATTCTGCTTTTATATACATGAATCACTTTGTCATTCACAGGATCAAACCAAAATGACAACTGCTCAATTTTACTGTCAATGCTGCACAACTTCACTTCTTAGGAAGAAATATGTGCTAAAAGATGACAGTCCATACTGTGTTTTATGTTATGATCGTATATTTTCTAACTACTGCGAGGAGTGCAAAAAACCAATTGAATCCAATTCTAAGGTAAGTTTCACCTCAATTTACAGAATTGCTACATATGAACAGCAAACAAATGGGTTAGAATGCCTCTTTTCATTTAGCTTTGACTTTCAACACTATTTCTCTGCTACTGGATATATAAGGATCTTAAAAGTCACCAACAGTCAAGCTCCAGCCACTACACTTAGCACTATGAAATACAACATATGCTTAATTCTCACATGATCTAATGAGGTATCTGAGACTGCTAAAGATTAAAGAGGTTAAGTTATTTGTCCAAAGTTACACAGCTAAAATTTTTCTGCTGTTTCCAAGCCCTCAGTAACCCTTTGGTGTATGTTTGTTATTTCCAGAATGACAAAGGTATAAATAAATGCATAAAGAATTGAAGTTGTAAGGATTCAAAAGTCTCTGTTTTCTGACATAAAATCAGCTTCATTTCTACTTAACCCCATTAATACCTTTCACATCTACCAGCCATTCCCCCAACATGCTCACTATTTTCTTTCTCTTTCTTTCCTTCCTTCTTTCCCTCCTCCAATTTTCTTTCTCTCTCTTTTTCTTTTTGTTTCTTTTCTTTCTTTATGCCTTTTCTTTACTTAGGTGATGTTATTTTTTGTTTGTTTCTTTAGTTCAGTCTTAAAGAGTAATAGAATATTACAACCTACAATTTTAAAAAATCATTCCATGAGAAATCTCTGTTGTAGTTTATAACAAGAATGTAGGCAAACTTAGAAGACATAGCAGAGAATTCATTTGTTTTTTACCAGTTGCCTTAAGTGACCCGCCAAGAAAGCCCTGGGCTCTAGCTCTTAATTACCCCAGAGAGTCTCCTCTCCATGGGTAACAGTTTCAGTAACAACTTTCCCTCAAGCTACTAGTACAACCTACTGACATGAGAGTCCCAGGAGTGTTCAGTTTTGTCTTATAAAATGGCCTGTTTTGTCACAACCACATTTAATTAACTTTTATTTACTGTCTCAAAGGATCTTTGTTACAAAGACCGGCACTGGCATGAAGGATGCTTCAAGTGCACCAAATGCAATCACTCTTTGGTGGAAAAGCCTTTTGCTGCCAAGGATGAGCGCCTGCTGTGCACAGAGTGCTATTCTAATGAGTGTTCCTCCAAGTGTTTCCACTGCAAGAGGACCATCATGCCTGGTAGGATCTCAAGGGGGCTCCTGTCACTAACTGAAACTGCAATGCTTTTCATTAAGTCCCAGCACATGAGAACTGTGGCAGGTCCCAAAACCCCGGTTTGGAGAAAGACATCTTTCTTACTCTCTCAATCTCTTTCTTTAGAAATAAAAACACTGTATTTTAGAAATAAAAAGATTGTTCATTCATTATCCTTGAACAGGTAACTTACAGTGTTCTATTTTCATAAAGTCTAATTTATACAAACATTTCAAACCAGAATCTCACCCATAAAATAAAGACAAAATTTATACTAATAACACTACATTAAACATCAATGGCATCAGAAAGAGTGATTCATCACAGGCGATTGGAGCCAACTGTCATTTTATAGCTTGACACAAACTGCTTTGAGGATCAGTCATTGTTATTCTCTCTTAGGAAAGACAGGATTCATGTATATCATTCTACTTTTGGCAAGGACTAATTCTTTATATTTTGATCTTCTCAATCTCTATGAACAGCAGCATAAGAACATAATTCATTCTCGCTGTCTCACTCTTGCTCTCTCATTTTCTTATTATAGATTCAAAGAATTTTTAGAAGGACAAACTACACAACATAGTCTCAGTAGTTGTGCTGCAGGCATTTTTAATACCCCTATAATGATTATTATGGTCCAATTTATCCAAACCATGTGCAACCATTAGGAGTCTTCATTCAAAGTACTTTTACATCTCCAGATTATAGGTTATGCAGGACTTGAAAAAGTTTTCAGTCTAAGGGTGATTCTCCATCATCATGGCTGAACTTTATTAACCTTTTCCTTTCCCCCATAACCTGAAAAAATACTATTTTTCTAAAAGGACAATTTATTTATCATCTTAACTTAGAATTTAAGTAATTTGATCTGTATTTGCTTAATAAAAATTACACTTGACTTACACTAACAGGTCCTTACTTTTGGAACACAGGTTCCCGCAAAATGGAATTTAAGGGAAACTACTGGCATGAAACCTGCTTTGTGTGTGAGAATTGCCAACAACCTATAGGGACAAAGCCTTTGATCTCCAAAGAGAGTGGCAATTATTGTGTGCCGTGTTTTGAGAAGGAGTTTGCTCACTATTGCAACTTTTGTAAGAAGGTAATTTTCTAAAGAGGGTGAAGCTTATGGAAACTCAGAGTATTCCTTTTTAGCTGTACCATATATTTGAAACGAACTGATACTATTATGTTATACACATTCATCGTACTTTTCACTTTCAATATGTACAAACCACTAGTTGTCATGATGTGGATGACCATCTGTTTTTATTAGGCATAAAATTCCAGCCAAACAAGAAGTTAATATTCCAAACAGCTCAAGTGCTCAAGTGATTTGGCATTCCAGTTCAATTCATTGCCTTTTTTTTTTTTCTTTTTGAGATAAAGTCTCACTCTGTCACCCAGACTGGAGTGCAGTGGCACAATCTTGGCTCACTGCAACCTCTGCCTCCCAGGTTCAAACGATTCTCTTGCCTCAGCCTTAAGAGTAGCTGGGATTATAGGTGCACGCCACTGTGGCCAGCTAATTTTTGTATTTTTAGTAGATATATAAATGGGTTTAAGAGTTCTGCTAAAGTAGCCCATAGATAAATTCATCCCATTTGGGGTTTCACCATGTTGGCCAGATTGGTCTTGAACTCCCAACCTCAGGGGATCTACCTGCCTTGGCCTCCCAAAGTGCTGGGATTACAGGCGTGAGCCACCATGCCCAGTCCATTCACTGCTTTTATACAAGATCTCACATATTCTGGAAGAGAGCACAGGTCTTTCATTTAATACAGATGTTTCTTAAAAAATAATTTTTGATCCATTCAGTATTAACTGTTTCAGAGCAATATAGATTTGCCTCCCAAAGTGACTGAGGGAACCAAGTTAAACAGGATGCTTAACTTTCTTTCTCAGCAATGCAAATGTCTTCTCGACTTGAAGGTTTTGTATTTCCTAAGAGTACAGCAATTAGCTCAAGGGAGTGCCAAGATCATGAGGGAAGTCCAGGAGACACAAGACAGAAAGAAGTCTAAGAGCTGCAAGTTCCTTCTCCAGTACCAGGATCAGGCAGGACCTTCTAACTTGGCTTCCCACTCAAAACACATTTGCTAAGATAAAATAAAGTAACTTTTTGGAAGTAAACTTCATCCAATTCTTTTTTTATCCTCTAAGCTTTTATGTGAAAAAGTAGCTGTAACACCTTGATAAAGCCTGTCTGTATTCCACAAAAATATATGGATGTTCTCAAAGAAATCCTTGACCTGTGAAGCATATAAATTTAAAACGACACCATAAATTGAAATGAGAAAGCTGAAGCAGGAAAACACACTGTATTAGTGTAGCGGTTTCTAAGTATTTTCTTATCTATGGGCTACTTTGGCAGAACTCTTAAGCCCATTTGTATATCTGGACAGCTGGAAGTCACACTACCACTTTCTACACATGCATACGTGAACAAACATGCACATACACACATGCACACAGTAATTTTTTAACACACATAACCAATACCAATCCTGCATTTAAAGAGGCAACAATACAGTATGCTATATCATAATTATTAAGTTACACTATATTGATGGCTGAGAACTACAATTGATCACAACAAGATATCAAATAATCTTATGACTGAGAACTTCATTATTCTACCAAAACACTGGCTTAGAAAATGACTTTATAAGCAGCAAACTATATGACCATATGACATATGAAGCTCCAAAGAATTAGCAGAGTCAATGACAGCATTTAAAAACATGCTGGAGGCTGGGCATGGTGGCTCACATCTGTAATCCCAGCACTTTGTGAGGCCGAGGTGGGAAGATTGCCTCAAGCCAGGAGTTCAAGACCAGCCTGGGCAACATAAAAAAACTTTAAACATTAGCCAGGTGTGGTAACATGTGCCTGTAGTCACAGCTACTGGGAAGGCTGAGTCAGGAGGATCACTTGAGCCCAGAAATTCAAGGCTGCAGTGAGCTATGATTGAGCCACTGCACTCCTGCCTGGGTGACAATGAGATCCTATCTCTAAAAATATATATAAAAATTAAAAATTAAAGGAATTAAAATCATGCTGGAAATAAAATGAATAGGTTTATCTCACTGTTTTAAGAGACAACTGAGTTGGCCAATTTTAGGCTTCATTTCTTAAAGACTTAGACTAAAAGTAATTAAATTTGTGAGAATTACCTTAAAATCAATTACTGGACACAATACAAAGTCTCTTTCAATGCTATAAAAATTCAGGAGTGAAACTTCTTTAGTACATTCATGCTGAGAACTGTCTGGGCCAAGTGCTGGTGTTTCCCAGGTTATAGGAGCCTGTAACTATATTTAGGATATGATTTGAAGTCATCAAAAATTTACAAAATATTTATATTGGGTAGTAGACAGATTGTGACATACCAGATTGTTTTTTATTTAGTTTTTAAAACCACAAGTCCTTTTCTAAAAAGCTAGATATGTTTTTGCTCAAGACGATCCAATCTAAACAATTTTTAAACTCAAGGCAAAGACCAAATTTTTTCTTAAGAAAAAGGAAAAACTACTTGACAACCAGGCCCTTAAAACCTTTAAGCTTTAAAGTCCATAGATTTTATTTTATTATACTAAGATTTATTTTCTGCCAGAAAGAAAATGACTTCAAACTACAAATGCTTCAAATTCAAATTCCTCAAGATTCAAAAAGAGTTAAATGTCTTCTTTGATTCTTCATCTGTCACCTACTGAGTACAAAATCATTATTGCCTCCACTTTTTCAGAGAAGAAACTTTTTCTAAATCCTGGGATCAATCAGTGGTGAAAACCAAGCTCAGATATTAGACTTCATCTTAACCTTCCTACCTCTTCAAAAGGAATATAATCACAAGCAAACTATTTTTAATGTTCCAGAGTTTCTTCTCTCTAATTAAACAGTCTTTGGTGTATATATCAAGTTTTATTTTGCTGTGAATACATTTTTCAAGTTTTGAATCTTTTAAGCATTGCCTGCGAATACTTAGCCCAAATAAATCAAAGGAATCATGAATTCTGCTGTGTCTGCTGTAAGGCATTTGAAGTCAGTAGGGGGTATTTTAAATTTCTTTACTTCCATCACACCATTATGCTTCCCATTTACTTGTTCAGAATAGCATGCTTTTTTCCCCTAGGAAAATAATCTTTTATATCAAATATCTTTAATTTCTAAGATATTTGTTATAAAATTAAAAATATCTTTAGAATAATTTTTTCACAAGTCTGTATTACAGACAACATTTCTGAGTTTGTAAACAAGGAAGTGGTTTAAAATAGGCTCTGTGTTTTTGCTATCTAGTTAATTTGATACAAAGTTTATAGGAACCACCTCAGATATCCCATTGCTTCATTATAAAACATTTACAAAAACACACTTCAGTATCTACGGCAACTCCAAGAGCTCATTAGCTGTGAATTCAAAAGGTGATATGGCTTAAAAATAGTTACACGAGAAGAATTGCCCAATATTTATCCATCTGAATCTGCATAAAGATTTTTCAGCCTTTTAAAAGGTAGAATTCATGAATTAAACTGGTTTAGAAAAAAAATATTATCTTATGGAAAATTAATTACATCTCTGACAAAACGCTTCACATCACACGTTAAGGCTCAATGTACAACCAGTGCTCATTCCACTGAGTTCTGATTCCCACAGCACCCCATTGCTAGATACAATACTGGAATTGCTTTCCAGCTATTTTTTCCTTTGGTATTTATTCATTCATTCAACAAGGATTTATCAGCTGCTTACCTGTGCAAGATAACCTTGACTCAGTCTGGTACTAATGGTGAAGCACACAGGCTATGGAGTCAGACCATGCAGGTTTGAATACTAGCTCACTGTGGCCATGGCAAGTAACTTAATGACTGTAAGCCTCAGTAGTTGCTCATCTGGAAAGAGGGAAAGATAGTAGTCTCTACTATGTAGAGGTGTTGAGACTTTTTAGAAGAGGTCATCCTTGGCACGGTGCTAAGGACTAAAAAAACACTTAGGAAATGGTAGTTATCATTAGCAAATAACGGTGCTTGCCAATTCCATTCAGAGTTACCAATATAGCCCTGCCTCTGTTCTATTTCATTGTAGGAGAAAAATATACAGTAATTTTCATTTCTTTCTACTTCTAGCTCATTTCTATAGCCTTTGGCTTCTCATATTATTATACCTTTTTCTTTAAAGACATTTTTTAGGAAAGGAACATCCTAAAATGAGGTGAAAATAGAGTAGCTGGAAGCATCAGTTCTGGATATAGAAGACATAAAATGATCGTTTTTTTCATTTTGCTTCCTTTTCCCCCCACAGATACTGGAATCTAAAGAGAATCATGAAGTGATCTGAATTGTAATGGTTCCCATGGTCATTGCCTTTTCTGTGGTCTTTGGCAGGTGATAACTTCAGGTGGGATAACATTTTGTGACCAGCTATGGCATAAAGAGTGTTTTCTGTGTAGTGGCTGTAGGAAAGATCTCTGTGAAGAACAGTTTATGTCCAGAGATGACTATCCATTCTGCGTGGACTGCTACAACCATCTTTATGCCAACAAGTGTGTAGCCTGTTCCAAACCCATTACTGGTGAGTTCTCCAGTTCAATATGATCATGCCATGAAACAGGTATGGCTATACAAAAGGCTGTCTAGTTAATTTAGGAAATGCAAGTAAAAGATGGGAAGCTTTCATTTATGTTTCCTTTTGAGATAAACACAAGCGGGTACCTATATATGAGTACAAATATTACATGGAATTCTCAAGGAAAGTACAAGAGTATACTTTGGGAGCCTGCACTCTGTGAAGGTAACTATACACTAAACCTAATGGTACTGACTAAGTAAAATAACAGTTTAAAGAAGCAGGAGAACAGCGTAAGATGGGAGGTCAGTGCAGACCTTTACAAGGAGGCTTCCTTGAAGCCTCATTAAGATTTGAGTGGGAGGAAACAGTACTAATAAATCAGAATCCTGCTTAATTCCAAAATAGGGCCAAGCATCCTTTAGTTAGGAAGGTTTGAATTAAATTCCACTATTGTCTAGAACATCTGAAGCTGTAATCATTAAGGTAGCATAGGTCAGTAATTAATTAAACTTTATTTGAAGATGCTTCTAACAAATGTATTACTCTCTTTCCTCTATATTCACTTGCAATTATGAAGTGCATTAATGAGTAGATGAAAGAAAACAAGATGGCATTTTACTAAAGAAAAAAATGTGACATGATTTGAAAATAACATAATGATAAATCGATCCATGTTAAAGAGGTTTTCAAGGTAAAAAAACATACATCTTTTCCTCAGGGACACCTTTAAAATGCTAATCCTATAATAAAGGAACTGAAATTAGCATGACACTTGAGATGCCCAGCAGCTATTCTTTCTGGCAATTTATAGTCACTTAATAATGTGTCAAAACTGTATATCTACTTTCTATCCCTAGTATTCTTAGATCATATTTCAATTTTTAGTTCAGTTTATATACCACAGAATTAAAGATTATTTTATCCCTTTCCTCCTTCATCTTCAAATGTGTAACAAAATAAAAGATGAATCTTCATGCACTTTCCGACAAAGAAGAGTTTGACAGCAAACCCCACCTTGGCAGGTTTTCACTGACTTGCAAGGGGAGGGAGGGTGTCACAAGAACAAACAGCATGGTCTTATTTGTCTATATGGAGCACCATGTGTGTCAGGATCACACTGGCCCACGGGCTACATCTGGCCAGCAGACAGGTGATGTTTGGCCTGAACATGTTTGGAAATAACTAATGCAAACTCCATCTCTGCAGCTAAAAGTAGAGGAAGAGCCTGCCATTGGTTGAGTAGACTGCCTCTACATTCCCCAGCAGGGTCACTATCATACGAAGCTAGTGGCTGTCCCATTGCATGGGGCATGTCCTCTCTGTTCCTTGTGCCCTGTCTGCTTCTCTCAGCTAGGTTATCTCTGGCCCTTGCAAGGACTTGCCATAGCAATCCCACACCACTGGGTTCCAGGGTCCAAGTATTATGAAGGTAACTACATACTAAACCATATGTGGCTTAGCTTTTAACTACCCTGCTCTCCTGCCTTCTACACATTTGGCGACTCCTATAGCCAAGAGAATAAGCCACTATCTCCACTGATTTTGGTTAGAAAATGGGACTTTCAGATATCCAACAGTACCTGGAGCTCCAGAATCTCCCTAGTAAAATCTGCAATCGCAGTCCATTTATTTGACAACAATCCTTTTCTTGAACTGGGAGAGCAAATAAAAGAGTATGTCAATAAGAAAATGAAGAAATTAACAACTCAAAATAGGTTTCAAAATTCTCTGGAGATCCAAATAGCTAATACTGATCTGCAAAAAGCCTACACAAGCCCTGAACTTGAGTTTCAATTCTGATATATCACAGATCCATAGGTCTAAGTGATTTTTCTCATAGATTGTTCTAGATCAATCACTGAGCCCAGCTTTTTAAAGTTCAGATGGAAAAACAATGTTGTTCTGCACAAAAATATGAGGATGCTCAAGAGAAAATGATTTGACCCAAAATTAATCCAAATACAATATTATATATTTGATTTAGACTCATTGGTCCACAGAAAATGTCTAATAACTATTATAATCTTTTTTTTTTTAGCTTTTTGATTGAGACACCAGAGACTGAAATGCCTGCAAAAACTTACAACTCACTTTAGTATTTCTTGGTCTGTTAAACATCTATAGGCACTGCAGTACTGCTTCTTTAAAATTGAGCTAGTTGAACTGATGTACCATTGGGAATTCTGATATTGTCACATATCTTCAGAAAATTGGCATTCGTCTGATTATTATGTCACTTTAAGAAGCTAGATATTCTTGATCAAAGGATACAAAATTTCAGCTAAATAGGATAAATAATTTCAAGAGACCTATTGCCCAACATAGTGATATAGTTACTACCAATGCATTATATACTTGAAAATGGCTAATAGATTTTAAATGTTCTCACCACATCCAAAGAAAAGTATATGATAAGGTAACAGATATGTTAATTGCCTTGATTTAGCCATTCTACAATATATACATATACAAAAACAACATATAATTTTTACTTGTCAATTAAGATTAAACAATTTTAAAGCTCTAAAAAATCTATTTATAAATCACCAACTGTAATTTTTAAAACCCATCACAATGAACTTCCTTCATTTGAACAAACTCTAGGTATAACTGCCATATTTTTTCTTCCTTTAAGATGGGATTAACCTTTTAAACTATCAGGGATAAATGAAGCAGCTTGATGCAGTGAAAAGTGCTCTGGACCGAGGAGCAAAAGGCTTGGTCCTCCCTGCCCCCAACTGCTGTGTCACCATGGGTGACTAACTCACCTCTGGGGATGGGGGACCTCATTTGCCTTATTTATAAAACAAATGGTTAAGGCGGTTGGCTTTCTTCTATCTGTTTATTTCAAGGAAAAGGAATTACAAATGTTGTGGTTTCTTCAGAGAGTAATGCTAATGTTCCCGATCATGTTCTTTACCAAAGATAAACTCAACCTTAGTTTCTTGAGGTTAAAAGCAGAGGCTCTAAAGCCAGATGGCCTGTGCTTCAATCTCAGATCTGCTTACTAGCTGGGTATCCTGGGGCAAGTGGTTAAACTTGTCATTTCTCAGTTTTTGTCTGCAAAGTGAGGCTGGTGCTAATATCTATCCCATGAAGGTAAGATGAGGGCTATATAGGATAACACGTATGAAAGACTTAGAATAGTGATGGGCACATATTCAAGAACTCAACAAATGCCAGCTCTTTTTCTACTGACTTGTCAGAAACCTGTGAAACCAGATGAAACAGGTGCCAGAGACCTGCTTCATGGATGGCTTTCTTACTGCAAATAACCCTCATGACCTAAGGGAGTAAACATATTCTTTTTGAAAAAATTAACAAACATCTCACATGTTGCTTCAGCCCTTTCTTAAAGTCCTGTTGCTAGTTGCTTCTCCTTTTTCTTCTCTGTAAAAATCTGGAAGAAATGCTTTTATATTTGCCACTTGTACAAGGCTTACTAATAAAATTAAGTGAAACCCATGAGCATCAAAATGCTAGACATGTAATAATTAGTTTTATGAACAGGCATAATTTATGTATATACAGAGCATTACTCTTGCAGTCAGCTCATTAATGTTTTAAATAACATTGAGGGAATTAAGTAGTACACAATTAATTTACATGTATTAGGAAGTAATGTTGACAGCATCATAGATAAGCAGGCTATAAATTCAATCAAGGAAAGTAGAGGAATTTGATGCAAATTTCACTATGAACTACTAAATTATATAGGAAGACATCAAACAAGTTTGTTAGGATGGAAACAAAAGTTAATTATCATACTTAAGAACAGCGTATTTGAAATAGAATGCTATTCACCCTTGGAGAGAGATCCAAGATGGCCGATTACTAGCAGCTCAGGATTGTAGCTCCCAGTGAAAGCACAGAGAATGAGATGACACCACACTTTCAGATGAATTTTTGTTGCTCACGGACCAGGAGATTCCCAGCGGAGGAGCCCCACGGGTCACCAGCACGACTTGTGGCCGGCGCAGTGCTTTTGCCGGTGCCTTGGCATGGCAGATCTTGGTGCAGAGTAAATGGGACTGGGTCCCCTTTTGGTTGACATCTGGAGTTCCAAGAAGGCAGAGTTGCCCATTCAGCTGATTGAAAAAGGGACTCAAGAGGTAAGCCAGGCCAGGCGTGGTGGCTCAAGCCTGTAATCCCAGCACTTTGGGAGGCCGAGGCAGGTGGATCACAAGGTCAAGAGATCAAGACCATCCTGGTCAACAAGGTGAAACCCCATCTCTACTAAAAATACAAAAAATTAGCTGGGCATGGTGGCGCGTGCCTACTCAGGAGGCTGAGGCAGGAGAATTGCCTGAACCCAGGAGGCGGAGGTTGCAGTGAGCCGAGATCGTGCCATTGCACTCCAGCCTGGGGAACAAGAGTGAAACTCCATCTCAAAAAAAAAAAAAAGAAAGAAAAAGGGACTCAAGAGGGAAGCCAAACCAGAGATTCCCAGGCAGAAAAGCACCGTGAATCTTAACGCTGCTGTTTTAGCCAGCACAGTGGGTTGCTCAGATTCTGGTGCTGGGAATCAACAAGTTGGACATCCACCCAGAGACCTAATTTGAAAATCAGTAATTACAAAGATGACAGGTGGATAAATTTACAATAATGGGAAGAAACCAGCGTAAAAAGGCTGAGAATACCCAAAATCAGAATGCCTCTCCCTCTCCAGGAGATCACAGTTCCTCATCAACAAGGGAACAAGGCCTGATGGAGAACGAGTGTGTTCCATTAACAGAATTAGGCTTTAGAAGGTGGATAACAAGAAACTTCTGTGAGTTAAAAGAACATGTTCTAGCCCAATGTAAAGAAACTAAGAACCTTGAAAAAAGGTTTGACAAAATCCTAACAAGAATAGACAATTTAGAGAGGAACATAAGTGAATTAATGGAACTGAAGAATATAATACGAGAACTCCACAAAGTACAAACAGCTTTTAACAGTCAAATTGATCAAGCAAAAGAAAGGACATCAGAGGTCAAAGACCAACTTAGTGAAATGAAATGAGAAAACAAGATTAGAGAAGAAAGAGTAAAAAGGAACGAGCAAAGTCTCCAAGAAATATGGGACTATGTGAAAAGACCTAATTTACATTTGATAGGTGTACCTGAATGTCATGATGAGAATGAATCCAAGCTGGAAAATATTCTTCAGGATATTATTCAGGAAAACTTTCCTAACCTAGTAAGGCGGGACAATACTCAACTCCAGGTAATACAGAGAACACCACAAAGATATTCCTCAAGTAGAGCAACCCAAGACACATAATTGTTAGATTCACCAGGGTTGAAATAAAGAAGAAAATTCTAAGGGCAGCTAGAGAGAAATGTCAGGTTACCCATAAAGGGAAGCCTATCAGACTCACAGAAGATCTCTCAGCAGAAACCCTACAAACTGGAAGAGAGGGGGGTCAATAATCAATATCCTCAAAGAAAAGAATTTTCAACCCAGAATCTCATATCCAGCCAAAGTAAGCTTCATAAATGAAGGAAAAATACAATTTTTCACGAACAAGCAAGCACTCAGAGATTTCATCACCACCAGGCCTGCTTTACAAGAGCTTCTGAAAGAAGCACTATACACAGAAAGGAACAACCAGTATCAGTCATCCCAAAAACTTACCAAAAGGTAAAGAATATCTCCATAATGAAGAATCTATATCAGCTAATGGGCAAAATAGCCAGGTAGCATTAAAAGTCAATATTAAACTCACAAATATCAATATTAATCCTAAATTTAAATGGATTAAATGCTCCAGTCAAAGACACATACAGGCAAATTGAATAAAAAGTCAAAACCCATTGGTATGCTGTATCCAGATCCATCTCATAAGCAAGGACAAAGACTCGAAAAAAAGGGTTGGTGGAAGACTTGCCAATCAAATAGAGAGCAAAAAAAAAAACAGGAGTTGTAACTTTCGTCTCTGACAAAATAGACTTTAATAGTAACAAAGACTAAAAGAAACAAAGAAGGACTTCACATAATGGTAAAAGGATCAATGCAACAACAGGAGTCAATGATCATAAATATATATGCACCCAATATGGGAACACTCAGATATATAAGAAAAGTTCTTAATGACTTATAAAGAGACTTGGACTCCCACACAATAATAGCGGGAGACTCTGACACCACATTGTTAATATTCGATGGATCGACGAGACAGAAAATTAACAGGGACATCTATGATTTGAACTCGGACTTGGAACAAGTAAACTCGGTGAATATTTATAGAATTCTTCACCCAGGTCCACAGAACATAAATTTTTCTCAGTATCACATTACACCTATTTTGAAAGTGACCACATAATTGGAAGTAAATCACTCTTCAGCATTTGCATAGCATTTCACAGACTTAAATAAAATATTGGTTGGCTGTCTGTTTTTATCTTCTTCCCTTATTCCTTCCTGTCTCCGCTGTTAAGCACAATTATCAGCATAAAAGAGGTTTTTAATACCTATTTTTAGATTGCATTCCAGCCTGGGCAATAGAGCAAGACTCCTGTTCTCTCTCCCCCTTTCTCTTTCTCTTTCTTTCTAAAAAAAAAGAAAGAAAGAAAGAAACCTCTCTGATTTCAGCCCCTAATTACCTCTCCCTAAAAAAGAAGAAAAGAAAAAAAATGCTATTCACCCTTTTACTTCACCATTTCAAATGGAATATTTGGAAATTACATGTGAAATATATCTCTTTTAGCCACACGCTATGGATGATAAGCAAATAATACCACTAAGATTACTGAAAGAAAACATGAAATAAATAAAGACCCAAGCCTAGGGCATCTCAAACTCTTGCCGAACCCTAGACATTTTCTTCTTTTATATAACTTCTCAAGATCAATTTCTTGAACTATACCCTGGAATCACATTAGGGAGACAGAGATCAGACCTTCAATAAAGATTCAAATTCTACTACTTTTTAAACAAACAGTATGGTTCAAGTGAGGTCCAAGTTAAAGTGGAGGAGGCTGACAAGGCACTTAGAATCCAATCATGTGGTTATCCACGTGGCCTCGGTGGCCAGATTCAACATAAGTGCAGTTGTCTCTGAGGAAGGTAATAAGGACATCACATTAGGATGTCTGAATGATTAGATAAAATCCTCTATTTGGGCTTTCTAGAAATAGTGTCCCAACCCATATGACCCCCCAGACATATTCTAAGTAAAACTAAGCACACAAAAAAATGAGGGAAGAGATGAAAACTAAAACTCATTACAACATCGGACATCAAGCTAGGAAGTGTATATTGATTTTATTTTATCTTCATTTTGCAGCTAAGAAAACTTAAAGTCACATAGAGAAAAAGAGAAAATGCAGTCATACTTAGATATCTCTGACTCCACAACGTATACCCTCTTCCCACTACGCTACACTGTATTTTCTTACCTGGCTGAGACAAGCCTTATCTATGTGACTTGCATATCAACATGCTGCCTGTTTCTATAGATTAAGGCAGAATTTGGCTGTGAATTTGGTTGGGTGGCATAGGTAGAACTTTCCTACAGCTGATAGTTCCAGATGGACACAGAGCCAGGAAGCAGCATTCTTTTTTGGGTTCCTTGTCTGGCTCACGGCTGTATCTCCAGCTCCTAGAGGAGTACCTGATAAAATGCTCAATCTGTTCCTTGAAAAGATCGATTAATCTTTTTCTCCATTTTTTTTTTACAGGTCTCACAGGTGCCAAGTTTATCTGCTTTCAAGACAGCCAGTGGCATAGTGAATGTTTTAACTGTGGGAAGTGCTCTGTCTCTTTGGTGGGTAAAGGCTTCCTGACCCAGAACAAGGAAATCTTCTGCCCAAAATGTGGCTCTGGGATGGACACTGACATCTAGGAGACAGTCCTTTTGCACCAAAAATCCACTTTGTCTTTGTTGTCACTAAAGCCAGAATTCAGTTGCAGTCTTATTTTTGACTTAAGTTTTAGAAAATAATAATGTAGTTTAGAGTGGAAGAGTCTTTGCACACATTTAATCGAACTACATTCTAAGGGCACAAAAAAACAGAGTAGAACAGAAATGAATATATACTAAATCACAAAGACACCTCTCCTTGCAAAATACTGCACTCTGCTGTTAGAAACATAGAAAAATATCTCTTTATAACCAAATATACAACCTATACCTAGGAACTGTGGACATAATTACTGAAGAATGAGGTTTTTCATACCTGAAGAGTAAAAGAAAAACTAAGAGATCAAAGTAAGAGGTATACATGAGACTAGTGTTTGCATTCCCGGTTATATGTAATGTAATAAACTAGCTATAAAAGGTAAAAGAAAATTGATCAGAGTAAATTGATTAGCAATTATCACATTTAAGAATTATTATTTAAAAATCATTCTTTTATTATTCACATATACTGACTTTAGAATTAAAAAACAAAGCTACAATTTGCCCTCATACACACTGCTTCCACAGCTTGCTAGTTCCGTGTCAATACAATATGAGGACTGAGGACATTATTGCTCTCCTACTCTGCATAGGTATAAAGGGGACCATTTCTACCTAGGGATAGTCAAAGCTTGGGTTTCAACACATTTTGTATTAAGTGTGTTTTCAAAGTCCACAATGACTTTTCTAAACGCTTACAGATTCCATGAAATAAAAGTCTGTTCTTTCAAGTAGAGCTAACCAGGATAATCTTTGTCCCCAAAGGCAAACCTTTAAAATAAATAGATCATTAAATCACCACTTGTGGAAATGAGTTTTAGGAAAGGGATTGAGTGTTGGAACATGACTTTCATCCAGATATCTAAAGACATAATAGAATGCATAATTAGCTCTGTGCCTCATGCATTTTGCCTTCTAAAATTATATAGATGATTAATGGGCAGACATAAAAGTGGGCTTTAAAGAAATCTAGTAATAATAAAAACTGAAAAAGAATAATTCACTGCTGGTAATTCAGAACCTGCAAAGCAGCACAATAGAGTAATGTGGGCTGTAGGGGAGCCCTCCCCACTCTTCCCCCACACCTGTGCCATCCACCTTACCCCAAGCCAATCATGCCCAAGCTTCAATCTGCTTCATAACCAGTAGGTATACTCCTAACCCTAAACAACCATCCTACAAGTCAGTCAGTGTTTATTGATCATATAGAAAGCGAACAGCCTTAGTGAGAAGTCCATCACAATGTTTATCTTTATACCAGACTTTAACTGATCGTGACCGTACCTTGCTGCCCCTGGATATTTTCCATATTACTTGCAACAAATGTAAAGCAACCTCTGTTCTCCATGGTCAGTTATCAAACTTGGTTATAGCATCTCTTGTGTGGAGTAGAAGGAGGTCAGGAGAAGAAGCCTACATAGATATATAAGCGTGTTCACTCAGATTACTGCACAGCATTAAAGGTTTTGATTAAAATCTAATTATAAGATACTGCTGATTACAATTACTAAAATACCATCACAGAAGATTCAATTAAAATTGTTATGGAAACAATTTTTGAAATAGTTTAAAATGCAAGAACATTCAGGGATGTTAACAATTTAGAGATACTAATAAATGTTCTGCTAGGTAGATTATTTGAAAACTATAAATATATTTTTAGATTAACAATGTCAAGGTATTTTTTCATATTCACATTGTAAAATACAGGGAAAACTACCAATATTTTTTCTTCATTATATGAAATTTCACAGATAGAACTAAATCTACAATATAGAAAATAGTGAATTGCATGTAGAGAAATCCAAGCCACTTAAGTCTAGATAGATATATAACATGTAACACCTTCTCTGTTAACCAATTATAGATAAATATATAACTTGTAATGCTTTGTTAAACAATTGGAAATGTTTAGGCATTTTATTGTGTGTGGGGGTGAGTATGCACGTGATCAGACTTGTATTCTAGGTTTTCAATTAAAATTCACAGAATCATTTCCTTGATAAAGATCTTATTACCCTTTCATAAGCATAAATATATATACTTTTACACATAAATAGTTCTGCATTTAGAAGGTATTCTACACATCAAACACATATTAAACATGTACTATGCCCAAAGTTAGAGCTTACGCTGTTGTGGTTCTGGAGTGATAGGAAGATGGATCAAGGTAAATGTGGAAGTGCCTGAGGCAGAGATCCTTGCTTACAGGTTAAACAAAACACCACTGTAGACATAGCTCACATATGCAGAACAACTAAGGAAGAAGACCTCATTAGGTCTTTGTGTAACGCACACACACAAAGATAAATGTAAAAATTATATAGTTGATTTATATGATTCATGTAACAAAGAGAAAAACTCTCTTAGGGACTTACCTGAAGATGAAATGGACTGCCGGAGGAAACAATGGGCTCCCAGTAATTCAAAGGTGACATCTGCATAGGTGGGAAAGTAGTTCCTGCCAATAACAACCAGATGGCTTGGAAGTAGCAGAGACTGTGCCGAAGAGCAAGAGGAAATAAGATTGCTAAAAGAGAAAGAGTCAGAGTAAGGGAGAATATTAACTCTTAGGATAAAAAGTGTGTGTAACAGGCCATAGAAAGTTACCAACTGTTCTTAAGTAGAAGAAGAAAATAATTATTGCAGTGTTTGAGGAAAATTATGCTATTGATTCTTTGTGGAATAGAACCAAAGAAATCAAGACTCCAAGGATTAAGTTTCTTCCTGCAGTAGTAAGTTTGGTTAGTGGCTACAAAAGTGAAAAGAAAGAGGAAAAAGGCATTGAAGGCCAAGAGTTATATTTGTTGGCAAAGATGAGTATGCAAGTCAACAAGTCAAAATATTTTATTTTGTTATGTTGGGGATTAAGGATGACAAAAAAAAAAAGCAAAAATGTATTTCTGCTTCAATAATAATGATTAAGATGCTCAAGGGTTCAATTTTAACTTAACAACATTATAAGAGTGTTAAATTGGGAAAAAACTAGCTTCATTGGTTAAGTAAAACGTGGTTATGTTACAATCCGGGATTCAAAGCTTACATTGTTGCTATAACTTTAAAAAAGGGAACATTAGATTGCTCACTGGAGTAAAATATTGGCCTACCCTCATGAAAAATGCATAATACTAATCACAAATGGTTTAAAAAAACACTGTAAAATTTAATGCCACAAATGAAAAGTCAATCCAAAAACATATTTGATGTTAGTAATATCATTTTGAATTAAAAAAATAATTTTTAATTTACTTGGCATCTTGATAATAGTTCATTTTTTATGGTTGTTACCATAAAACAGTATGTTTTTTATATATTTAATTGAGCCTTCTATTACCCATCTATTTTTACACCATTCAAACTAACTATGTGTTTAGATATCATTTCAGTAGATGCTGAGAGTTGCTAATATGAGGTTAGTATATGGTTGTTACCATATAACAGTATGTTTTTTATATATTTAATTGAGCACATAGTCTGTAAGGCATCTGTAGGTGTTTATGAGGATAATGATACTGTTTTTGCTCTAAATTGGTTTTTAGAAGTCTCTTATACTGAATAAATTTGCATTTTACATAGTCCATATTACTCATATTATTTTTAAAGATTCATTTTTTACATTAACTATGTAGTAAACAGAATAGGTGTGAAATAATTTCTGTAGTGTTTCTACTTCTATTACATAAGTAAACATGATAACTTTTACTATTACCCATCTATTTTTACACCGTTAAAATTAACTATATATTCAAATATCATTTCAGGGCATTAATTGGAAAAAAACAGAATTGTCTTATCCAAACAGAATCTCTCTTCTGTTAAACTAGGAGATCCATGGCTATGTTCTTTCTTACAGTAATAAAATGTTAAAATATTCTAAACTTAAAAAAATTACTTCCTATTATTTCTGTGATTCTGAAAATATTTTATGAAAAAAATCCCACTTTAATTGGATTTTTCTACTTTAATGTAGATAGTCTTTTGCTAATTTCTTATTTCTATATGCAACGAATTGCTAAAACTCTTGGCAGCTTTAAACCCTTATCTATTTTATCTAAAGCAAAATTTATGTCTATGACACACATCTCCATGAAACTTTAATCCACACTATTAGTATCAGTTACTTTCCAGAATTAATCTTGCTGAAATATTTTAATGTCTAGACATATTTCTCAAAGAATATTTGGAATAATACCCTTATCAAATATTTCTAGTTTACTTTTGTAATCACATTTTTTTGAAAACTAATGATATTCTTTTGGGGACCTAAAACATAAACTTTGTCTTGGAATAGTGTTTATTCAATAAAAGAGACAGAATGCCATTAGAAATTACAGTTGTTAGGTATTACCTTTATCCTAAATCTCTTCGTCTAGGATTATTAAATCTTTAGATCTTCATTATCCTACCAGAAACATTGCAGGGCTGACTGAGGTGAGATCACCTTTAAAAAATGGATGGGAACTTTGAGGTTCTCTTTTCAGGGAGAGGTAAAGGAGATCACCAGAATACATTTGGCCTTGCAACTCTCAGCATTTACTGAAATGATATCTAAACACACAGTTAGTTTGAATGGTGTAAAAATAGATGGGTAATAGAAGGTAAAAGTTCTTTTTTTTTTTTTTTTTTTTTTTTTTTTTTTTTTTTTTGAGACGGAGTTTCGCTCTTGTTGCCCAGGCTGGAGTGGTGCAGTCTCGGCTCACCACAACCTCCACCTCCTGGGTTCAGGCAATTCTCCTGCCTCAGCCTCCTCATCATGTTCTTTTTATGTCAACATTAAAGAAGGATATCTAAGAGAGAGGATATCAAGTCTTCATTTGAACCATCCATCTCAAAAGAATTTAGAAATGAGTCCATCCATTCAAGTCATCCATGTGGCTTCTTAGATGGTCCCCAAAACATATCCAGAGAGAATTAGAGAAGTTTTATCTGCTAATTAAGACCATTCTGAATTTTTCTGGCTGATAAGCTTTAGACCAGATACTCTGTTCAATATGGAGAAAATCAAAAAGGAAGAAAATCAAAAAAGAGGCAAAAACAAAACAAAACAAGAGATTGAGATCAAAGTTGGAGTCTATAAAAGAAATAACAGAGTTTATATGTATTTGAAATGACTGGATTTTATATCTCTGTGGTTGAGAAAGGGAACAGCTTGCTGTGATAGAATTATGATCCATGTCACTGAGGAGCAAAGAGTATTTGGGTCAAATATTTTCCCACAAATGTTAACAAGCTTATGGAGTGGATGTCCATAAAGGGTTCTCTAAATGAGGAACATTAATGAGCTCAACAGACATTCATCCAGTGACTCAAACAGTGACATTAAATGCTATTCCTGCTACACAGAAAAACAAAAAGTTTGATATTTATGGAAGTCCACACACTGAATCATTAAGGCTTACTCCTTCTTTAACAAATGACAACCTCTCTTCTTTGCCTCTGCAGCATCACTTATAGGTCTGTTTATTTAAGAGCTTCAACCCAAGCTCTCAAACAAGAAATGAATGAAGGAGTATAGATACAGGAGAAATGGGGGAAAATAGTGTGGTGATAAAAATTTTGACATTTCTGAAAAAAAAATGAAAAACCATTTTTAAAACTTTCACTTTCCCTATATAATAAAAATTTTCCCGAAGTACAAGACATTTACAAGAGGCAAAATATGTGAACAGAAAAAAGGAAAAGTTTGATAAAATTTGGAGCTTGAGGACTACAATTAGTATCAGTTTTCTCCCCTGCATGGAAATTACTCTTTTAGATGCCACCAACTAATATGGAGCCACAAAACTCAATGATTGCTTTTCAACATTCAGTCTGCTGTGAGACAGGCACTTGCTTTGTTGGCTTCCTCAAGATTCTTCAAAATCTTTCTGCCGATCGCATCCATGACACCATTTTCTCCTATGTCTTCTAAATCTCTGCCTCCTTCACTAGCACACCATCTTCTATCGATTTCTTAAAAACAAATATTCCTAAATATTCTTGACCTCCTTGTTCTGTATTTTCTCTATTGGTGAATTTATCTAATTCCATGATTTAAAGTGCTTTATCTGGGTAGCTGAGATCCAAATACACATCTTCTGACTTGAATTCTCTTTCAAGTTTCAGACACAAGTTTCTCATTGCCTTTTGGACATCTCAAACCAGTGTCATGCAGACACCTAAAAATAACTATTAGCCTTTCTCTAAATTCCACTTATCTTCCTCTGTTCCTCAGCTTAGTTAATGTATCATCCAAATAGAGCTTTTTAAATTCAAGTCTTGGACACATGAAAAGTAGTCATTAGGGAAATGCAGATTAAAACCACAATGAGATACCATTTCACACAGCCTGGAATGGCTATAATAAGTAAGACAGTAACAAGTATTGTGGAGGATGTAGAAGAACAGGAAGTTTCACATAGTGCTTGAGTAATGAAAATGATAGAAAATGATTCAGCTACTTTGGAAAATAGTTTGATAGTTTCTCAAAAAGCTAAACATTAAACTACCATAAAACCCAGAAGTTTCAGTCATATCTACCCAAGAGAAGTAAAAATATATGTCCACACAAATGTTCATAGCAGCATTATTCATGATAACCCAAACTGAAACTACCCAAGTAGTCAACTGATAAATAAAGGAAGTGTGATACAGCCATATAATATTATGCAGCCATAGAAAGGAATGAACTATTGATAGGTGCTACAACATGAATGAACTTTGAAAATATTATGCTAAGTGAAAGAAGGCAGACAAAAAGGCCACATATTGTATGATTCTATGTATACAAGAAGCTCAGAACAGGCAAATTTATAGAGACCAAGTATATTAGTGGTTTCCTGGGGTTAGGTCATGAACAGTACTTAACTGCAAGTGCGCATGAGGAAACTTAATTGGGGAGAATGAAAATATTGTAAAACTATTTCATGGTAATGATTGCACTGCTTGATGAAATTACTAAAAGTCATTGAATTATTGACTTGAGTAAACTGTATGATGTATATGCTATACCTTAATAAAGCTGTTTTTTTAAATCTATCTTGGCTCTTTCCTCTCCCCAATTCGTTACATTTGAGTCCTGTAACAAAAGCTACAATTTCTTCATATTCTCTTGCAGACTTATTTTGTTTGCCCAAAATGCCATTCATTTTAATTTTTATATGCTTCTGCCCATGCCGTTTCCTCTGCTTAAGATTCTCTTCCTCTCACCTGCCTGTCAAAATTTTAATCAGTCTCTGAAGCCCAGATCAAAGTTGCCTCCTGTGTGAAAACTTTACTAATATCCCTTAGCAAAATTTAATCATTTTCTGCAACTTCTTTTATAAATCTGTGAGAAGTTTGAACAACTTGATTATGTTACAGTTAGGAGTGAGAGTCAATCTAGTTAAAAGGTGGTCTTTTGAGTAAGAAAAGCTGGGTTAGATCCCAGCTCTGCCACTGGCTTGTTATATGACATTTGGTTAAGTTACTGAACTCTGAGCCTTGGTTTCTCTATTTTCCAATATAAACCTCAAAAAGTTTGATGTGAATATGAAATGAAATATATGCAAACTGCTTTACATCTACCTGGAACATATTCAACATATTAAAAAGTTATTAAAACGTCAATGATCTTCACCTTCCTTCCCACCACCTCTCCACCCTAGAGCATGTGTTTATTCATCTTTGATAAACTCACTGCTTAGTGAAGTGCCTGGCACTTGGTAGACAGCCAATAAATACTTATTGAATTAAATTCTAGCTGTGAAAATATTATTGCTATAATAATATTCTCCCAGCGTTAGTTGTCAATAATCGTAATATGTAAACGCCTTTTGCCATTGGCCTCAATCATATTGTATGGAGTTGCCCATGTAAGCAGCAGCTAGAAGGCAAATTAATACCTGCAGTTTCAAGTATCTACATTGAAGTTTTTATTTTGATACCACTGTTTCCTCTGTCCATATACGATTCCTCTGTCCATATACGAATCTCAACCAGCATTCACAGGGTGTCTGGAGACACTTAATTTTCAGGTGCTTTGGAGAATAACTGCCTATATTTGAAGTTTCCTCTAGGGCCCTCCAGGTGGATGTTTTAGGCATTGCAGAACTTTGATGTTAAGCCAGACCATTCTAAATATATCTGCCAAATTTGGAGTCAATCTTTCTAAGTTTTGTATCGTGTGTGTGCAGACAGCTAGGAATGTAATTGTACTTACCTTGCTTAAACCTCAAAATGCATTCTCTGTGTTCCTCAAAAAATGCAGCCAATTTTACTTTAACCTACGCTGAATATGTGTAGCTTTAGACATATTAAATTATTTTATCATACCATAACAGCATTTCTGGGCTGCCTCAATCCTCCCATGGTACAGAATTTCTCTTGGTCTTCCTTATTAAGCTTCTCCCTTTTTTTTTTTTTTTTTTTTGACACTTTCACCTCTCCTGTTCCAGTGTTCTCCTTCTCTTAATGTGCATTAGTTTCTAGTGGATATTAACATAATTACTTTGGCTGGAATTCTAGAAAATAAACATCTAGGCTTCTTTATCCATTTACCTGGTCCTTAAATAGCACCCACACTTGTCTGATACCACAATATTAAACCCAATATGTAGCTTCTTAGAACAGAACTACAAGTCCACAGCTAGAAAATGTGCAGATAGATATTGAAACTGGGAGAAACAAAACACTCTGGGTATTGGATCTTAAATTCTTATTCTTAGGTTTTTCATAAAATCTTTTCTCTCTCATAAGAAGTATGTTTCTAGCTAACAAAATGAGGCTTTTGTCTCATTATTAGGAGAGTAATATCAAAACCAACAACTGCTTTCTCAGAATAAATATTAAGGACCTTTAGTTTGGAATCATAATGTACAATAATTACTGAAAATCTTCAGCTAGTTATCTTATTTGTGAATAATTGTTACCTTGAAGTGACAGCAATCTCCCCTTCAAATATATCTGAAGCAAATGCAGGCTGGTGTAGGTGGCTTTGTCTTAGCTTTCTTTACCTCTCCCAGTAAGAACTTCCAGCACTCACCCTGTCCCCAAGAATATTAAATGTTCTTGGCTTTATTTTCTACAATGATCTAATAAAGTGGTACTTTTAATTATTCTCATTGTACTGATGAGGAATTTGAGGTTAAAAGAGGGAAAAGAACTGGCTTGAGTCATTAAAATACGTATGGATCTGATTCCAGAGTCTATGATATCAGGGATGCTAATGATACTTGGTCCCGCCACTTTCTGCGGAAAGCCTAGTGTCACTATTTCCCCTTTCCCACATACCCACTCCCTGATGGTCTCAGATCCTGTTACACTTGTTGAATGTCTCTTAAGACAGTTTTCTCCTTTTCACTTCCATGGTTCAAGCTTCATTACCTCTCATCTAGATGCTTTAAATTATCTCCTATTAAAACATGTTTTCATGTCTCCATGACCTCATCCTTTTACCTTATCCTACACCTTTTCTCCACCAGATTAATATTCCTTAATTAGCACCTGATCATGGCTTCATCTTGCTCAGCAGCCTTTACAGGCTCTCCAGTAGGTCTCCTCCAAAATTTGGCCTCATCTCTCTTCCTAGGCTTCTCTATTAGTATTTTTTTCCCCACTTGAATAGGTACCTTTGAGGATGGAGTCTTTGTCTATTCTATTCACCATCACATATGCATTGCCTAAAGCAAAACTTAGTACAGAGAAGGTGCTCAAATAAGTTTTGGGTGAAAGAATAAAGAAATATTGCTCCCAAAACAAATGCTGGATTTTCTTCAATTTGGTTTTTTGCTCAAAATAGTCTTCTATCTGGGTAGTTCTCTCTACCATCACCACTTATATAATTAATTCCCCATTAAAATTTAGCCATTTATAAGTCAACCTTTCCAGCTGGAAATATTCACTCCCTCTGTATTTTATGACAATTATTGTCATACTCATTATATTTGCTTTGAATTATATAGTGAATTATCCTATAGTCACTGGAAACTATTGATTCAAAAATAAGGCAATGTCTCATTCAGCTTTGTATTTCCCATAACGTTGAGTATCAAATAAGCTTAAATAAATGTTTATTTTTAAAATTGAATTGAGTCACAGAACAAGTCACTTCTGAATTTCTTCCTTAAAACCAGTAAATATTGATACACATGTAAATAACAATAATGATAAAAGCATTCATAACATTGAACACGAAGGGCTGCATGGACTTAATCCCTCCAGTGGCCTTATGCAGTAGATACTATCATTACCAGATAGGAAAACTGGAGCACAAAGACGTTAAGTTCTCCAAGATCCCACAGTTATTACAAGACAGCCAGAGTTTAAAGTAAGAGGTTTGGCTTTAGGGTCCATATTCTTAACCATTATGACCTCCAAAAAGGAGAAACTTTAGAAAGAGCCAAATATAAGCACACTGATCTGTATTACAGGCCTCTAAGTAGGCCAACCTTTAGAAAAGGAGCATGATGGATTTATATTTTGTGTGTCCACATTTTTTAGCAACTTGTTCTTTTGAGACAGGGTCTAGATCTGTCACCCAGGCTGGAATGAAGTGGCGTTATATCAACTCACTGCAACCTCCACCTCCCAGGTTTAAGCAATCCTCCCACCTCAGCCTCCTGAGTAGTTTGGACCACAGGTGCATAACACCATGCCTGGCTAATTTTTGTATTTTTAGTAGAGATGGGTTTTCACCATGTTGACCAGGATGGTCTCTAACTCCTGGGCTAGAGTGATCCACCTGCCTTGGCCTCCCAAAGTTCTGGAATTACAGGCTTGAGCCACCGTTCACCACAATTTTAGCAACGTTTTAAAAGGAGGCATAACATTTTTTTACATTGAAAGAATAAATCACAATGTATTGTGGAAGACAGTGTGGCGATTCCTCAAGGCCTTAGAAATAGAAATTCCATTTGACCCAGCAATCCCATTACTGGGTATATACCCAAAGGACTATAAATCGTTCTACTATAAGGACACATGTACACGAATGTTCATTGCAGCACTGTTTACAATAGCAAAGACCTGGAATCAACCCAAATGCCCATTGATGATAGACTGGATTGGGAAAATGTGGCACATATACACCATGGAATATTATGCAGCAATCAGAAATGATGAGTTCGTGTCGTTTGTAGGGACATGGATGAATGTGGAGAACATCATCCTCAGCAAACTGACACAAGAACAGAAAATGAAACACCGCATATTCTCACTCATAGGCGGGTGATGAAAAATGAGAACACATGGACACAGAGAGGGGAGTACTAAACACTGGGGTCTATTGGGGGGAAAAGGGGAGGGCCAGAGGGAGGGGGAGGTGGGGAGGGATAGCCTGGGGAGAAACGCCAAATGTGGGTGAAGGGGTGAAAGCAAACAGAACACACTGCCATGTGTGTACCTATGCAACTGTATTGCATACTCTGCACATGTACCCCAAAACCTAAAATGCAATAAAAAAATAAGAAAAAAATAAATAAATAAAAATAAATCAATAAAATCAATGAAAGAATAGATTTCAGGAACTGTTTATGCTAAAGTAGTTGTTTCACAAACAAAACAGTGGCAGAATGCCACTTTAGAAGTTACAGTTTTGTGAAAATGCTTTTTTTAAAAAGTAAAGGCATGGTTTATTCTTCGAATTATCCACTAGATGGCAGAAAATTGTTACTGTCCAAAGCACTATTACTGGATTCCTCCAAGCTCCTTTCTAAGCTCCATAAATTATGCAAATTGCTTCCACCTCTACCCCTGCAATACTGGCCTTTTCACAAGTGGCATTTTAAAACACACCGCTATTTTTAAGCTGGGAAAGAAAAATCAGAGGTTTTCACAGTTATAAATATTAGGTATAAGCATACTAATTATATGTTTGTGTTACTCTGCTCTAACATAGAAGGAACAGATGCACAGACATGTTGGGAGAAGGGCTGAGAGCCCACATAGAATGATCTCTCCAGATGCCAGATATTAGAGTTAAGCTGAAAAGCCTCCAGTAGAACAGTTTCCCATAACTTTTAAGTCATGGGTTTCATGCCTCTTAGCATATCAGATTTGCC